TCTCTCTCTCTCATTTCCTCTCGCTCTCTCTCTCTCTCTCTTGCTACTCTCAGATGATGACATCGTTTCTTTTTCATGATCTACTGTGCTCGTACCGTCATTCCCAGATAGAACGCACATTTAGTTTAGCTGTGTTTGGGCACCTTTCTGTCTAGGTACAGCAATAATGACGGTACGTTGTATTGGAAGGAAGACGGTAGCCGTCTGACATCCACCTCGCACTCGTGCATCGACCTGTGGTTGCGCTTGAAAAGGTGATGCTGTGCCACGGCAGGGATTAACGGCTGTTAGTAAATGGATTGATGTCCCCCAAAACTAAAACTAAATGGTTCAAAAAAAAGATAAGGGAGGTTCAAACAAAGATAAAGGCTAAAATGAAATCAAAGCCTTGAAGTAACTGGGTATAGGCCTATTGCACAACCATAAAGCGATTCACTCTCACTGAGTCTCACATTGCACTACCTCCACCTAAATATTGGAAATTGGAAAACAGGGGTATGAGGGGTATGAGCATCAAGATAGAATGCTACCTTTGGAATTGGCCGTTTGACACTACAACTCACCTCTGGTGGGACTGGCCAATTGGTCGCACAAATGGTGGAACTGGTCGTTCCAACATTTGTGCGACCAGGATGTGTGGCCAATGTTGGAACCATTAGTTCCACCATTTGTGCGTCGACCAATTGGCCAGTCCCACCAGTTCCACCATTTGTGGGACCTGGTTCCAAAATGGCCATTCCAACTGCAGGGGCACACGGTGGGTACTCTTGCCTTTCTGCCAGACATCGATCCACACCGGCAGCGCTGGGCGTACATCGACCAACTTTGGTCGTGCGACCACTGAGCTAGGCTCTTGGGTACCTGGCCGATTCTTAGGCATGCCCTCCGCCTGTTCAGTGTTCATCTTCCAATCCATTTCCTTGGCACGACACGTTCTTATCTGACCAAATGTACGACGCATTTGGTCAGATAAGAACGCGTCGTGCCAAGGAAAGGGATTGGAAGATGAACGACACAGGCGGAGGGCATGCCTAAAAATCGGCCAGGTACCCAAGAGCATAGCTCAGTGGGTACACCATTGAACTGTTGAAATACATACCAGGTGCTGTGTTCGAATCCAGATGATGGAACTCGACGCGTAAAACCAAATATTTCTGACTTGCTTGGGGCCGGTCAGCTTCATCATGATATCTCAAGGTCGTCGCCCTTTCTAATTAAAAAAAAAAAAAAAAAAAAAAAAAAAACGGTCAGGTAAAAAATAAATACAAAATAATCGGCCAGTCTGATCAGACCAGACTGGAGTAGAAAATTCATGTCAGCCAGTGTCAGCCAACAGAAGGTCCAGGTGGAAATGGTTCACAGAAAAATCTGGGCAAGGACGGGAGGCGTGGCCTCCTTCTCAGGTAGCAAGCTAACGATATCACAGTGGTTAGGAGGATAGAGAGAAAAGAAAAAAGGTACTTGGGTTGCTGTCTGGAGTGACAGTAGAAGACGGCAAACGTGTCCGTACGGCGGGAGACTGCCAAGGGGGTAACAAGGGAGGGAGAGGGTTCATCTCGGCCGAAATGTGTCCCCCCCCCCCCCCCCCCCCCCCCCCCACACACACACACACACGGGGCTGTGTTAGACTGTATGTGTATGTGTGTGTGTTCTCATATTCGCTGTACACAACTGCACAAATAACATGATTTTGCCACACCTTTTCGTCGGACTTTCACAGAGTCAGAGGCATCCAACGGCGACAGTCTGCCCGGGATGCATTTGAGTGATGGATCAGTACAAGAGGGTCAGATTCACACTTACGGCTACTCACAGTCACAGCAGTCGGCGTACAAGATCAGCGATGACTGGTCCGATGCTGTGAAAGGAAAAGGGGAAAAAAAAAAAAAAGACGTCGACATCGACGGTAGTGAATCTATCCGCACTCCTTCAAAAATATATATATATATATATATATATATATATATATATATATATATATATATATATATATATTTATCCGCACTTATCACTCGAGCCCTGATATGAACTACGTCGGGGTCAGCATGCACTCGGTTTGTGCGAAAAAAAAGCGACGCCGTCTTCTACACAGGATAGTCTGCATTTAGACGAACCGTAAGTTCAGATTCACTCCTGCCGCTACTCCCAGTCCTATGTCTCCTCATCACGGCCCTCCTCTTGCAGGACAGGTTCGCCCCAGGCATTGTCGTCCCCTACCCCCCTACCTTTTATTTGTTTTTTGCTTCTGTTTTCTCTTTTGGCCAGCCAATAGGGCTTGGTGAGACCCGCTTATCAGAATTTTTCGTTTTTCTTTTCCATTTTTTATCTGGCTCAATTTATCTTTTTCTTTTTTCTGGTAGGCAGCGAAAAGGAAGCGCTATGTCACTGGTTTGGATCAGAGGATCGATTTTTTTTTTTCTTTGCTTCCCCCCCCCCCCCCCCCCCCCCCCCCCCCACACACACACCTCCCCCCCTTTTGTTTTGGGGCTGTTAATGCTCTTAAATGCGTTCTAAATGTTGCAGCGTTTGTCAACACAGGACACCAGGAAACAGAAAAGAGAGAGAGAGAGAGAGCAAGGTAACCGCTTTCGTGTTTGAAAAAGTACAAATAGCCCGTTCAAACACCCAGCTCCCTTGATCACAGCGCACCCTGATGACGAATGTATACAAGCTAACGTTTCGGTCGCATACAGTCATGATAATGTAAGCTGCGTTCGAGGGAAGACGGGGGTGCAATGTCCGCCGCGTACAGAGTATACTCGGTACGGTACATGAATGTGGTCAGGAACTAGGCAAAGGTTCACGCTGACAACTTACGCAGCAGCATTTATTGATACTCAAGACCAGCCAGATAACCACCGTGTAGGCATGCATCAGCAAAGCCTACATTTAATCACGAATGTATATAAGCTTTTTTTTTCTCTCTCTGCCCAATAATACAAAGAAATATGACGCACAGGGAAGAAGGGAAAAAAATAATAAAAAAATAAAAGCAAGCCATTTGATTCTTTTTCGTTCTTTTTTTTTTTTTTTTTTTTTTTTA